TCAAATGTGGTCTGATAATGTATGCGGTGATTTAAATGATTTATGTAAGTGGTGTTTTCTAACCAAAACAAATCAAAACATGTGCGATTGTGTGCTGCGTTTTTCGTTGATCGAAAAGCAGAGCGATCGAAATCTTGTGCGGGGACGCGGAAAATTTAACGTGTACGAGGAAATTATTTCTTATCTGTAAACAATATCGTATCATGATGTAAATAGTTTAAATTCAATTCATTTCTTTTTTGTTTGTTTTTAACCTCGACTCATTAGCTATTTAAGCTAGGAGCCTAATAAGCTGCAGACCTTCGAGTATAAATAAAGTTTTCAGTTTTCAGTTTACAATTTACTGTGCATGACACATCACATCATATTTGTAAACAGTGTCTGAGAAAACTACAAAAGCGGCGTGGACTTCGCACCAGGCAGGCATTTCGGAGAAAGCCAGCCAAAGAAACTAAAATCTTTATTTAGCCGTAACAAACAGAGGTCAAGAAAATTTAAACACTTTACAACTGCATCTGAAATCAAATCCTATCGGGAACACACACAGAAGCATAAACCACAGGAAATGATTACTCAGTATGCATGTAACAAACCTGCTTCATGACCTCTAAATGTAAGACTTAGCGCGGCAAAAATGAGATTTACTCAGTCAAAGGTTAGAATGCTACATGCACTGTGTAGTGCTAGTAATCTTCGCGCGAGAGAGAAAAGAAGAAAAACCTCTGTTCAAGCAGACTCTCAAGGTCACGTTTCGCCCGTATCACGAGCTTATGATGTTTTGTTTGGCCTGTCAACTCTTTTTTCTAACCGGATATTATTTCACAATTTATGCGAAATAGAATACCCTGCCAGCGGGACGCTGGAACACGATTAGCGACGGCGTTACGCAGACGTCCCTTTTCCGCGTGCAACAAAGGAAATAGGAGACGTCTGCACGCAGGCAACGGATTTGATTTCACTTGAGCTGTTCGTGACTTGGTTACTCGGGCAGGAGTCACATGACAAACCTGTCAAAAATGTAAATAATTTGATACAAGTGTTGTGTTAACCATCCTAATGAATTGTCATGGTTCGTGTTCTGCTGAATAATGATCTTGGCTTTTATAACATTCGTTTATTGTACACGTTTTATTCAAGACTAAGCTTAAATAAGAAGTTCGAACAACTCATGGTTTGACCTTTTCGTATGCAAATATCAAACGATGTCAATAAACTTTTCCTGTTCATCTGATCATTAAAGATGCAAACGCAAACTCATGTGAGTTAAGTTAGAAAGCAAATACTCTCCATTTGGCCGATTAAAACTGTTGAATTTCAATACGTTCTGTGTTATTAAACCATTATAAATAATGATATTTGACAGAAGCCAATTCATTTCAGTATTGCTATCGCTTACGGTACATGTATATTAGTTGCTATCTTGTCATCTTTTACGAGTAATCATGTCAATCAGATTGTTGTGCAAACAGACTAGCAAGCATCCATCGAATGCGTTGTGTTACTTTCCACAAAAGCAAAAGACCGGAATCACAACGACATGAATAATCAACAAAAAATAACTAGATTAAACTGCAGGAATGGTGGTGACTGTCAACTGGGACAAAGAGAAAGTTGAAGTGGAGATATGCTTTGTGTATGGAACTTTCATCACAAAAACAACGTTTATTTTGCAGTACTATTTACACAGAGTCATTATTATTTGTCATTTACATGTCAGTTGCATTACACATTGTAGAAATGGTTGCATGACAAAATGTTGCTTTTTTAACACAAAACAGCAGGAGACACATGCAGACATTATGATTTATGTTTCTCCGCAGCGAAATTGCGTCATTTATTCTTATTTATAAAGCTGCAAAGGCGCTTGTTCCAGAATGGTGATTAAGATAACATTATAATTTTCTTCGGTCGTCTGACTGATCGACCGTATCCGTTCAAAAATAATATTATTTTCTCCAGTTGTTCATCCTTTAAAAAATACTTTCTTCAGTTGTTTATCTGTTCGACCTTATCCGTTCAAAAATTTTTGTTAGCAGTTCATCCGTTCAAAAATTTTCGTTAGACATGTATCCGTTTGACTGCATCCATGCAAAAATTTTCTTCATCCGTGCATCCGTGCAAAAATTTTCTTCATCTGTCCACCCATTTGACTTTTCTTCATCCGTTAAGCCATTCTGTTTCAAATGGCTTGGCTATCCGTTTCTCAACCGTGTGCTTGCCGTGCGTTCATTCTTAAGGAACGTTTTCATGTGAGAGGTCACAAAGAGGAAGAAGCCATTCAATAGAGGTTCGACTGTGTTAAACACAAATGTACATCTAAGAACTCCATTAAGTAACCGTACCACATGGTATTTAGTCCCTGGCAAACCTATTACACCTCTGCACCATGGGTTTCGTATATAAAGTTAGTTTTTCTTCCCAACAGCGTTTTTAGTCTCTTCCTTCAGTGTTTCAAACACTTCTTTCAGTATTCCTTCCTTCAGTATTTCATACAAATTTTAGATTGAATTTTACTCCATACAAACACACTAATTTTCAAGCATTCGCGAGTGCTGTGGTATTAGCACCGAGTCTGGGTGTCCTGTGCTTTGAATATCGAATGAAGGTCCTCAAATTTCACTTAATTTCGTTCTGATTTGCTTCTACTTTCATTATGGCCTACCTGAATTTGAAAATATCTATGCAAAAACTCAAATTAATAGCTTAACATAGAGTATTAACACTAGCTTTGCATTTCATAAAAAATTTGTGGCTCAGTTGTCGAAACATGATCCGAGAATTCGTCCGCCATTAGCTCGAGAATATTCCATAATTCCGAACAAATTGAGGGATTCCGACAAAGACAGTCGTCGTACTTTTGACTTTCGCGCCGTAGTTAAAAAATCCTAGACCATACCTTTTTTATTTTTCCCTTTCTTTGAAGGAAGTGTTCGTTTCTCCACTGGACTTTGTAATCTCAAGCGCTTGCTGGAAGAAGGCCGCGAGCTTTCACGAAGCAAACGATCTTGAGACTTCCGCTTGGATGCTCGCTGGTGTGGTCTTGACTTCAGCCGAGCCATTTCATCAAACCACTGAGATTAGTTCCTGTCTTAAAAGGCTTAAAGCGAGATATTTTCATTAAATAAGATGGAAAAAATAGAACTGCAGAGCTAAAAGAAGCGAAACGTGATCATCCACACCCGCCGAAGGAGCGACGCCATAAGTTCATACCATTCCGAGGAGTCTCCTTGAATGATCACGTGATAGGTTATGAACTCATGGGAGGGAGGGGTGGCAAAAATCGCACTCTGGTCGATAGGGTTTTTCAGGGTAAATAAGTCCCAAATTTGTGCATAAACTACGTCGCCTTTAGCAAAGATTTGGAAAAATTACCACCACAGCTGTATTAGAAAAATATGAAAATTTGTTATGATGACGGTTGCAATGTCATCAGAGTTGCCATGGCAACGAAATGACGACATTACCTATTTTACTTGCAGTCGTATTTCCTCGAAATAGAAGGAATTAGAACCTAAAGTTACCTATTCCTTACTAAAGACCCCAAATCAAGTCTATATGCCAATTTTTAGCCAATTTGGCGAGGTAGTGTGGCAACGACTTTTCAATATAGTTCGACTCTTGCAGACAACTGCTCTTATGTACCCGAAGGAAGGCTAGGGATTTCTAGATGACCGTTCCATTCAGGAATCAGAAAAATTCTCACTTTCGTAAACCTTTAAATTGTATCTAAAATTTGCGGGAAAACAATAATAAGGCCCTGGTAATTTCGAAAAGACTCAAGTTGCCCTAGGATGACCGAACAGATATAAATTTGATAGCGCCGATTAGAATGTACAAACAGGGGGGGATCCACGATTTTTTCAAAGAGAGGGTTGTAAGTATGAGAGTTCAAGGCAAACGTCCCAGGGCAAAAGGAATGCGGGAGGGGGGAGGGTAATGTTTGAATATGTCGATTTTCTTCATTTTCACTTCAGACTGGTATAAATTTGTCAAATATGAGACACTATCATTAAGGACCGACTAAGAGTACAGTGCAACAACGATAGTTGTTTGATTAAAAAGGCGGGTAAACAAGAGACAAACAGACTAGCTTGAAAGAACCTTCTTGGATGAGCCTTTACAAAGGCTTGCTGGCATATCTCGTCTACCTCTAGCTACCTCGAATCTCTCGGAGTAGTGCGTGGCGATCACTGCGAGATCAGAGAATCGCTCTTCAGGCATTGTTGACCTAGAGTAGGTCTTGATTCATTTCATTACTGTCAACGATCGCTCAGCTTCTGTGCTTGTGATCGGTAGTGTGCAGGCAATGACCAGAAGACGATGGATGTTTGCGATCTTCATCGCAAACACAAGTGCTAATAAAAGGTTGTCTGGAAGCTCGCTATCTGTTGGCTGCCAGAGTGTTTGCCATCTAAGTACCACATTCCCAAGGGATTTGGGAAATGGATTGTCTTTCTCCCAGTTAAGAGCACCCCTTCTACTTCATCGTCCAGCTGCAGTGCCTTATTTACCATAATCGATGACACTAGACAAAGCAAATTGCGGGCGTGGCGATCTTCGTCAAAAATCCACCTTGCATTTGGATGATTAAGGAGTCAAGAAGAGGAATAGCGAAAGCCATCTTGTAATGATCGATTGCACTGAAACGTATATTATAACTCATTATTTTTGGTAGGAAAAAGGGAAAGACATGGGAGATGGGTAGCCAGACAAGTTTGAAAACTTCCCAAAGGGGGGGCGGACGCAACCCCTCAACCCTCCCCCTGGATCCGCCTCTGCTAAAGATCTAGAAGTACTCTGGATAGCCTAAAAAGTGTTTTCAATGCATTTAGGAGGAAACCGTCGCTGGGTGCCCCTCAGTATTTGAAAAATCTAGCGGCTGTATTAAAAAGGAAACCTTTGGACGCTTGAGACGCAGTGCTCTTACAAAGTTTAAATGAAAAGGCAATTTATTCAAGCTTATGTATGTGACCCTGAGTTTGATAAACCGAGGTCGTAGCTTAAACCTTTTCTATGGTGCACTGGTCTTTGTTGATTGTGCAACTCTGATCACATTTCTCTGCGTCACTTGGGCACTGCAGCTGACAGTTGCCTGATGTGCACCTTTGCTCACAGCTGCTTCCTTGGCATTCCAGACCACACCCACCACCAGTACAAATCTGTTCACAAGTATCAGCTTTGCATACCAGACCACACCCACCACCAGTACAAATCTGTTCACAAGTATCAGCTTTGCATTCCAGACCACACCCACCACCAGTACAAATCTGTTCACAAGTATCAGCTTTGCATACAACTGTTGCACAGTTTCCCGCTGTACAGATAAATGTGCACTTTGTGGGAGCCGAGCATTCCATGTTGCAATTTCCAACTAAAAAAATGGAAAGTCAGAAGTGATACTCATCGTATGTATACCTGATTGCAAAAACGTTATTATCAATATTATTATTATTATTATTATTGTTATCATTATCATTGTTGTTGTTGTTGTTGTTATTATTACTGTAATTATCTGTGGTAGGGACATAAAACTTTTGAACTTCGGAGACGTTCAAAACCTTCATTTTGAAGTGGAGAACAAAGCATAACAGCATGCATTTAAAAGTTACTACGTTATGTAAGGGACACTAACAATTCACATAAACACTGCACAGAGTTTCTTTTCCTCAGCTTCACAGTGCATCACCTACCTACAGTTACATAAGGGTAACTTTGTGGTAGACTTTCAATTGTTTACAGAAGAGGTAGTGCTCATGTTGCGACGTTTTTGTGAGTACATTGGTAAGTATTGTGAAGTAAGAGGTTTATTTCACATTAATACAAAATAGAAGCAACAATATTAAATATAGAGAATAACATACTCTTAGAACCTTTAAACATACCAGTGCAGGATTGTTCACAGGAATGGTAATATGACGAATTTTCGTGACATTCCATATCACAGCCCCCTTGGTTGCACGACTGATAACATACGCCATCCTCCACGCCTCCATTACACTCATCAGGAGCAGTTTCCACTATGGTGCACTGGTCTTTGTTGATTAAGCACCACTGATCACATTTCTCTCTCTCCCTCGGACACTGCAGCTGACAGTTGCCTAATGTGCAACTTTGGTCACAGCTGCTTCCATGGCATTCCAGAACACACCCACCACCAGTACAACTCTGTTCACAAGTATCAGCTTTGCACACAACTGTTGCACACTTTCCCCCTGTACAGCTGAATGTGCACTTAGTGGGAGCCGAGCATTCCATGTTACAATTTCCATCTAGATAAAATGAAATAAAAGTTTTAAACGTAGTAAACGTTTCCCTGTCCCTCTGACACAGGAATTTGTTATTTTAAGACGCAGTGCTGAAAGAACATGCACTGTCCAGTCTAACAGTTGGGTATGCCCTTATAGCATTGCTTAAAGTTAATGTTATCATTATCATCATTATTGTTTAGCATTATTATTATTATTATTATTATTATTATTATTATTATTATGATGATGACTCGGGATGATGATCACAAATTTACACTTGGCAAATACGTAGTAAAAATGTAAAAACTGAGGAGTGAACCTGGGGCAAAGATGGTAAATGCCACATTTGCATACCAAAAACACGGGGTTGTAAATAATGCAGTAAACATCCGCTAATAAGAACCAGAAGTTTAAGAACCTGGTGGCAAAAATGTGGCACTTAAATACCCAAAAATATAAAAGCCTGTTTAGCCAAGAAAAATGGGTTTGGTTCTTATATGTGGGTCACAGGTAAATAATATGATAAACATTTTATCGAATTTTAACCAAGGAATTTTACTTCAAGATTGCCAACTGACATTCCAAGAAAATGCTGCATCAAACTGTAATTACAAATAGAAGTATTACAGTAAGGGTACAGTAATTCCTACAACGAAACTGACAGGTTTATAAAAGGAACAGATTGTAACTGTCTTCATATAGACCTTACGTAAAAGAAGTTTGCAATGTACAGTTATGAATAAGTACTGTATACTTAAGAACTAAACTTAATTTTTTTTATGTTTCTGATAGTCAACTATATCATATATCCTTCGTAGAATACGAACCTATAAGGACCTACTTATCCTAAATTGCCAATAATTACCCCAAAATACGAGAACCTTTTTTCCAGACCTAAAAAATGTAAGTTCTTGTACGCGGGTGTTTACTGTATTTGTCGAGAGCGAATTTGTACAAAATCATTTCTTCCGGTGGCTTTGCCTCTATAAAAAATAGCATAATGACTTCGTGTTTAACCTGCGAACAGCAGACGCATTTCCGGTCGTCGCTTCTCTCCCTCGGAAAAATAGCGACGCTATTTTTCGGAGGGAGAGAAGCGACGACCGGAAATGCGTCTGCTGTTCGCAGGTTACTTCGTGTTAGACTTTCAATCGTTTATAGTAGAGGTAGCGTACACATGTTGCGAAGTTTTTGTGAGTACATTGGTAAGTATTGTGAAGTTAGAGGTTCATTTCACATTAGTGAACAAAAAGAAATGATAGAAGCAACAACAATAAATAAACTAAGAGAATAACATACACTCAGAACCTTTAAACATACCAGTGCAGGATTGCTCACAAGAATGGTAATATAATGAATTTTCGTAACATTCCATATCACAGCCCCCTTGGTTGCACAACTGATAACATACGCCATCCTCCACGCCTCCATTACACTCATCAGGAGCAGTTTCCTCTATGGTGCACTGGTCTTTGTTGATTAAGCACCACTGATCACATTTCTCTCCCTCACTCGGACACTGCAGCTGACAGTTGCCTGATGTGCAACTTTGGTCACAGCTGCTTCCATGGCATTCCAGACCACAACCACCACCAGTACAACTCTGTTCACAAGTATCAGCTTTGCATACAACTGTTGCACACTTTCCCCCTGTACAGCTGAATTTGCACTTAGTGGGAGCCGAGCATTCCATGTTACAATTTCCATCTAGATAAAATGAAATAAAAGTTTTAAACGTAGTAAACGTTTTTCTGTCCCTCTGACACAGGAATTTGTTATTTTAAGACGCAGTGCTGAAAGAACATGCACTGTCCAGTCTAACAGTTGGGTATGCCCTTATAGCATTGCTTTAAGTTAATTTTATCGTTATCATCATTATTGTTTAGCATTATGATGATGATGATGATGATGATGATGGTGATGATGATGATGATGATGATGATGATGATGATTACAAATTTGCTCTCAGCAAATATGTAGAAAAAAATGTAAAAACTGAGTAGTGAATCTGGGGCAAAGATGGTAAATGCCACATTTACATACCAAAAACACGGGGTTGTAAATACTGCGGTAATCATCGGCTAATAAGAACCTAGAAGTTTAAGAACCTGGTGGAAAAATGTGGCACTTAAATACCCAAAAATATAAAAGCCTGTTTAGCCAAGAAAAATGGGTTTGGTTCTTATATGTGGGTCACAGGTAAATAATATGATAAACATTTTATCGAATTTTAACCAAGGAATTTTACTTCAAGATTGCCAACTGACATTCCAAGAAAATGCTGCATCAAACTGTAATTACAAATAGAAGTATTACAGTAAGGGTACAGTAATTCCTACAACGAAACTGACAGGTTTATAAAAGGAACAGATTGTAACTGTCTTCATATAGACCTTACGTAAAGGAAGTTTGCAATGTACAGTTATGAATAAGTACTGTATACTTAAGAACTAAACTTAAGTTTCTTTATGTTTCTGATAGTCAACTATAGCATATATCTTATAGAATACGAACGTATAAGGACCTACTTATCCTTAATTGCCAGTAATTACCCCAAAATACGAGAACTTTTTTTACCAGGCCTAAAAAATGTAAGTTCTTGTACGCGGGTGTTTACTGTATTTGTCGAGAGCGAATTTGTGCAAATCCATTTCTTCCGGTGGCTTTGCCTGTATAAACAATAGCATAAGGATGACTTCGTGTTTAACATGCGAACAGCAGACGCATTTCCGGTCGTCGCTTCTCTCCCTTGGAAAAATAGCGACGCTATTTTTCGGAGGGAGAGAAGCGACGACCGGAAATGCGTCTGCTGTTCGCAGGCTACTTCGTGTTAGACTTTCAATCGTTTATAGTAGAGATAGCGTACACATGTTGCGAAGTTTTTGTAAGTACATTGGTAAGTATTGTGAAGTTATTAGAGGTTCATTTAACATTACTGAACAAAACGAAATGATACATGCAACAATTAATACTAAATAAACTAAGAGAATAACATACAATCAGAACCTTTAAACATACCAGTGCAGGATTGTTCACAGGAATGGTAATATAACGAATTTTCGTAACATTCCATATCACAGCCCCCTTGGTTGCACAACTGATAACATACGCCATCCTCCACGCCTCCATTACACTCATCAGGAGCAGTTTCCTCTATGGTGCACTGGTCTTTGTTGATTAAGCACCACTGATCACATTTCTCTCCCTCACTCGGACACTGCAGCTGACAGTTGCCTGATGTGCAACTTTGGTCACAGCTGCTTCCATGGCATTCCAGACCACACCCACCACCAGTACAACTCTGTTCACAAGTATCAGCTTTGCACAAAACTGTTGCACACTTTCCCCCTGTACAGCTAAATGTGCACTTAGTGGGAGCCGAGCATTCCATGTTACAATTTCCATCTAGATAAAATGAAATAAAAGTTTTAAACGTAGTAAACGTTTCCCTGTCCCTCTGACACAGGGATTTGTTATTTTAAGACGCAGTGCTGAAAGAACATGCACTGTCCAGTCTAACAGTTGGGTATGCCCTTATAGCATTGCTTTAAGTTAATTTTATCATTTTCATCATTATTGTTTAGCATTATTATCATTATTATTGTTATTATTATTATTATTATTATTATTATTATTATTATTATTACTATTATTATTATTATTATAATGATGATGATGATGACTCGGGATGATGATTACAAATTTGCACTCGGCAAATATGTAGTAAAAATGTAAAATGTGTTTTAGGGATCGATGTCATAAGAAGTGCTTCAGATCGTCGAGTAGGTCGTGTTGTCTAAAAGTTTGGGAAGGTTTCAAACTAGTTAGAAGATGACGCAATTTTTAGGAAACCAAGAGACGGAGGCCTGTGAGTGAGCGAAAAGGAAACATTGTATCGACATCGCGTGAACTGCAACAAATGTTCATTTCATTACAACAGGGAAAGCAAACGCTCTTGGATTTTGTAGTGAGCCGAGCATGATCAAGGTATCCTGTTCCAGGCTCCAAGATAGTGGTGAAAAGTCGTTGAGTAAAAAGGTGTAAAAAGAAATGCGAAAAACGCGCGGGGGCTGGAGACAGACAGGGCGGTGGCTCTCAGCTCATTTTTCTCGCCGCCACTGCCCCCTTTCCCAAGACGCGCGCGTCTTATTTTCGCTCTGCTCGTTTTAGTACGTCCCCACTATACTATCTGAGAGCCTGGCACAGGCTAGATCAAGGCAGCACGAGCAATAACCAATTTTTAATCAACGGATCATGCTCTACATAGCAAAGAGTTACTAATCTGCCTCTAGCGTGGCATAATTAGGTACGAAAAGTGGCCTGCACTTGAATTGTGGGCTCCTGACACTTCACTTTGACAAACGACGCTTTGAATGAATTTTCAATCTGAGAGAAGAGCGCTTCCGCGCGCTTACTTGCCGACTGTCTACAACAACCAGCTGGAACGTGAAAAACAAAAAGGCCGTTTAATTACCTCCAATTAGCAGAAAATTGTCCTTTGTGTTGGAAACCTCTTTTCTAGCCGTTCCCATGCTAACTGGCTGAAAACGGTTCAAAAAGGAGGATTTGGTCCAAAATGCGGGTTTTCCATAAAAAGTGGCTGACGGCAGAGGGTCAATTTCATTTCCCAACCAGAAAAACCGGAGAAACCGATCGAAAAAAATTGAAAAGGTCCATCAGTAAGCTTAAACTAGATACTCACCATTGCAAAACTGGTAACAGGAATGGTAATATTCTGAGTTAAAACATTCCATGTGGCAACCTCCTCCGGTACAATACTGGTAACATACACCGTCAATCACTTCATTGCATTCTGTAGGGATAACTACAGGTGGTCTGGTTGTTGGTATTGTTCCGATTCTGATCCGTAATCTTCTAAAGAAGAACGCTTCAGTTGACGTCAGAAGGATAGAGGTGAAAACAAGCAGTATAGGGAATAAACAGTTGGGCCAATTCATGTTTCAACGTGGCAGTCTGAAACAAGAAATGTTGAGATCTTGAACGGCATGAAACAACAGGTAACCCAAGCCACTTGAGAGCCGTCAGATATTCAAATATGATTGGACTTTGCGTAAAACCCTCAATTCATGATACTGTATGGCAAAAAACATCGTAAATAATAGTTCACGATATTTAGTCCGTTACACAGGAAACCAAAATGTGACAACTGCGGACATTTTTGTCTGATTTTTGGCAACATAGCTATTTTTACTAACTTGAATACGCGTACGCTGATTTTGAAAATCATTTTTGCCAAGCTCAATAGGCCGTTTGCGCGATGGCCTTGTTGTCTGGCATTGACTTGTACTGTAAAGATGATTAAGAGAACTTCTGAGGTTTTTACACTGTTTTCGAATAAATATTAAGCCGTCACGTTATCATCGACCACGCCCAAATACGCCCCTTAATGTAAGTTGTGATATTTAATTTTGGTCAAAAACATTTTCTTTGTTAAAGCTGGAGATAAAGTTTCAGTATTTCTTTGTATATTGTTGAATATAAGTCATTTCACAATTAACTTTGTCGGGTTCATGATAGTGACTGGCTAAATTCACGTAACATTTTCGAATAAAACATGACGGGACGTTGTTCCTTACTCTAAGGTTTCAGTCTGTCAAAAAAAAATTGTTGTTTAGTACTGTAAATATTGTAAATAGTATTTCTTAGCTCTCTCAAATAGACTACAACGCTTTTAACATAAGCGAGTAACGGTTGATGCAGCAGTTAGCGTTGGCTTAGAACATCCACACAGCTGAGTGCACACGACATGCAACTTACTGTATTTACAGCCCAGCCAGTAACGAACCAGTTTGGAACTCGCTCCAGACAAGCCTCTTGGATTGAATCGAGGGTCATAAAGACAGGGACCAGTATATCTTCAGCTTCAGAGTTCATCCAGTCTCCTCTGGGCCCTGAAGCACCACTTTTGGAATGTGTGCCTGGCGCCAAACCGTGTTGATATGTCCGTTAAGAATGATTACATAGCGAACAAAATTTCCTATCGCCTTCTTCGTGGTTGGATTTCAAAGCAGCTACAACAAGCAAAGGATCCAAAATGAAAATTGCTTTTAATCTGAACAACCACCAGACACGACGATTGTAGAGTCAACGACTGCTTGCGCGATACGCTTGTCTGAGAGAAACCGTACTAAGTCCGCTTTTTTGTCTCCTAGTGCAAGAAATACTTACACAATGGAACATCTCTTCCTGCAATACCTCCTACACCATGTTCTTTGAGCGTCGACTTCATCGTTGACTTAATGGATTGCCTCCGATATTTAACGATCGATTAACACAACGATCCTCTAACAGTCCAGACCCTCTCCGTAACACAAAGTCCACCGGCAGCCCTAAAACCCTCCGAACGCTTTGCTTTGTCTTGTTTTCCAATAGCTGCTTCCAAAGAAATTAGCTATCGATGAGCAAAGCAGCATTTCCTTGAGGTGGGATTGACTCTCTCTGTCAGAAAATCTGTTAAAGAAGACTTGTTTCCAGTTCGCATGGTGTGGCTCATGATTAGCTGAAAAGCACGGGCGGAAGAGCCCCTAGGTACCGAATCTCAACGGACCATTTCCAAACGGAATGGCGAATGCTGGCTTCGGATTGGGCACAAAAATTGGTTTGTATTATTGTGCCTAATCGGCGAACAGCATCTCCTGAGTTCTTTTCGTGAGTTCGTACACGACAATTTTGTGTGTATGCTTCAGGTAGCAAGAACGAATTTTTCGAGCAGCAAAATCTCACTATAACTATCGTGTAAATAACATCGATAATGACCAAATCTACCATTCAGTCAGGAAAAGGAAAACGATTGCCTGGAGAGTAAACTGGAGGCCCTAACCAAACATTTTAAAGCCCTGAAAGAGCTCCTGGAGAGCTGTCAGATATTTCTGTTAAAATCGGCGAGGAGATATCTAACGCTGTGGAAGCTTTACAACAGTACAGCTACCAATACAATATAAAAATCGTTGCTTTCTCACAAGCAAACAAATCTGAATCATCTGAAGACACAGCAAAACTGTGCCTTCAACTATTCTACTACCTGGGTGTCGACGGTATTACGTTACATGACATTGACATCGCTCATCGCGGCCTTTTAGGGAAGAGCGAGTGCTGTTGGTAACAAACTCAAACCTATCATTTGTAAGTTCGTTAGGTGTTTTGCTAAGGACAAAGTAATGGCTACCAGGAGAGCGTCCTGGGACATCAGCTCTCAGGACCTTGGCCTACCAGAAAACATCACTTTTGAACGTATTGGAATTTACAGTCACTTAAGGGACCGTTCATTTTTTATGAGAGAGGGGGGGCTGGTGGGATTTGGGGGGGGGGGCCACTCGAAAAAAATTGGCTTGAAAGGGGGGGGCAGCCGAAAAAAATGAAGGAAAGGGGGGGGGTCGGACGAAAAAATTAGATTAAAAATAGGATAAGAGATGTTTACAAATCGAAGAAAAATTGTGCTCTTTCATTTATAACAAATATGCTAAAACAGTTCCAGGGTAACAAGAAAACTTCTCAACAACTTTTATATTTTATAAGGACAGTGAACTTACCATAGTAACAGTCTTGAATAGCAACAACTTTCTTTTCATTTATAAAAATGTTGTTGTCAAGCTCATATAATTAAAACCAATAATTTGAGTCCTGAATTGGAACTGACCTCGTTACCAGAGCTTTTCTCTGAGAAATTTAATGGGAGGGGCATGAAACTACTACGAGGTGTCCCCTTCCTCATTTTCGACGTTCTCTTTGATCTCGTCGTTGCTGTGTTCCTCTTCTTCTTCCTCCTGTTCTTCTTCGTTGTCTTCTTTTTCTTCCTCTTCTTCGTCGTTTTCTTCTTCCTCTTTGTTCGTGTCTCCGACATTTGAGCTATAATCTTCAGGATGCAGGAAGCAATACATCCGGTTTCTTACTTCTGGCTTAAGGTTGGCAATAAGCCTGCTTTGTGCCGCGTTGCTGAAGTAGCTTGATTGCAGTAGGTGAGCGATGAATGCTGCATCCCGTGTTAGCAACAATGCTGCTACATCTTCAAAGTTTATGCACGCTTCCGGAATTGTCATGGAGGGAGGATAAAGAAGACAATTGGGAAGCTCTTTTGCCAGGGGACAAGCGCTCAGGACGAGCAGTAACATGAAGAGCTGAAATTGACTTTTCATTCTTTTGAGTGAGGATTTGTTAAAAACAGCTTTCTAGCTTTCAGCTTTCTTTCACTAAATTACGTGAAATGTAACAAAACGAAATTTTAATGCAGTAACTTTTTTAATACCTTATGTGTTTTTTTATTCATGGGGGGGGGGGGCTTCCAAAAAATTACTCTGATGAGGGGGGGGGGCATGCGAAAAAAAATCGGAAATTGGGGGGGTTATACAATTTTCAAATTACACTCCTCCAAATCCCACCAGCCCCCCCTACCCCATAAAAAATGAACGGTCCCTAACACCGAAGCTTCAAGGGCTTCTTCATAGTGCCAACAACTTCAAAACTCAACATGGCTACAAATTTTGTTGGGCAAAAATGCCGTTATCTTCCTTTTCAAGAATGAAACTTTAAGACCAATCAAACTAACTAAGATGGATGATTTGACGAAACTTATAGCTATCTCTGATTTATCTTCTCGATGAAAAAGAGACACGGTCAAGATAACAGAAGCAACAGAAACAAGCAACAGCGAAAAATTACTAGTCAGTTTTCCTTTTCTTTTGGTTTGATGTGGATCCCTATCGCTCCTTTTTTTTGAAAAACTGTTATTTTGTTAATCTCTCTTTTTGACACCTGTAATATTTTAAAACTTGTGACACCGAGCTTCCTCGATTAGTTTTAGCTACCTGCAGGTGAGTCAGATTTGATTTTAGTAGTCTGTCATATAAAATAAATAAACTTGAAACTTGAACTAAACTTGAATTTATTGTCTCACCATACTTATCCGGTTCGTTCACCAAGGTTGTGCGTACAGGCGAAACTTTCATTTTCTACTTTCCTAACCAGAAACGAAGGAACTACCGATGAATCAGAAAAATGTTTCGGATGCTCTCAGCAAGAACAATTCAATTTGCACCGAGAAAATTCTGTTTCTGACCGAGCACAAGTTATCGTAAATATAGGGAACTTAAGATAGAGAGGTTCCCCAATCGCTCTAAAACAAAACGCCATTGAAACACAAATAATACTCATTCTAGCATAATTTGAACAACCCTGAGTGTTCTCGATGCAAACGACCGTTGCTAAGAAGACTATTCGGATCCCTGACTTACGACTACCCCGTTATTACAACCTCCAACAGGAGTTGCGACTCAGCTTACTGGCGAAGAGGATGTTAATTGAAACAGAAGTTAATATTTACTAATATACTCTTGGACTAAATTTCCACAATTAACCATCAGCCGTTAAACCTCTAAAATTTAACCGTCAACCGTCAAAATTGGTAAAATATTAACCCTCAACCGTCAAAGCTACCAAAGCTAACCGTCAATTGTCAAAATGGGTAATTTTTACCGTCAACCGTGAAAAATGCGGAATAGTTAACCGTCAAAAAGTTTCAAGGTATTTAAAATCTCGCTATTTCAGCTGATCTTCACGGACCTCTTGCTCCTAAAAAATCTGTAAACTAAAAAACCAGTTCCTATGTTCTCAAAAATACTCTCTCTTGGGGCATTACAAGATTTTACAAGTTGAAAAAATTTTACAAATTGAAAAAAATTTGAAATTTAAAAAGTGAAAGGCCAAGAAAACCTCCATAACACATCATTTACTATTATCGTGAAGTTTATATTTACTTAAACTCTTGGACTAAGAAATTTCCACTAAATTAATAACTGTCCCCGTCAAAAGCACTAATTAAAAATTTAACCGTCAACACCAAAATTGGAAAAAACTAACCATCAGCAGTCAAAGCTACTACCCAATTAAGACCATCTTATAAGGCTCTAGATTATTGAACTGAATATTACTGAATTTTCTGAATTTATATGATGTTTACACCGTGTTGATTAACACGACCGAAAAGTTTATTTATAAGTATATTACGTTTAAACAGCTTTCTTTCTAATTTCTAAAGCATTAACATACTTTTCACATCCGAAGAGTGTCTTTATTCTTTCTTATCAGCCAAGTACTTATTATCATATTTTAAAACTTTACGAAACCTTAATCAATTAACAATTAGTCGCCGCAGGCGACTAATGGTTATAATTACATTGTTATTTATTCGAGAAAATAAAATAATTGATCGATTTCCGACTCCGAAACATCAACAAATCTGGCTGCAATTATTTTGAAAACTGTATAATCACTGCGCGCTGACGTGATTATAGAGGGATGACGCGAAGCTCCTCGCCAATCATAGCGCTCTATTTTCGATAATCATCGCATCAATGTAATTATACTAGAGCAAAATAGTCAACTGGAATAGAATTTTGGTGAAAGACTTGTCCAAGTTGTTATTTTGCTTATTGTTGTCATGTTTTGGTGTGGCAATTTGGAAAGAGAAACAATGCCCTTCGCTCTTCTATTACTTCGATTAAAAAAACGATATCCAGAATCTTGAAACACCCTTGCAAAACATTTCACGGCTTGAGAGTGTTGGTTGCGTAATTTAACTTGCGTCAATTCTCTGAGCGTTTTGTTTTCAACTGGAGATTCATTAGTGATGAGTTCTCTTTATCGACGCACAATGGGAAAGATATGCTTTCAACTGACACTTTTGCATCAAGGTGTAAAAAAATTATGGTCTTTTGTGTGTCCTTTTTATTCAACTTGAACTGAATGTCATTTTTTTTAGTTACCAGCAGTGTCGCTCTAGAACCAGATTGGCCACGGGATTAAAAGTACAGTGGAAGCTCGATTAAACGAAGTGCCAATGGACTGGGGAAATTTGTTCGTTATATCGAACACCTCGATTTCACGAATTTTCGAAAAACAATCAAAATGTTCGTTGTATCGAGGTATACAATGATTACTTTACAAAACCCAGCATTCCCGGATCTGAACAATTGTCTCAGTACCTAGCTCTATATAGCTACGGCATAGAAACTTAAGAACAGGTAAAAAGCTGCTTAAAAAAAAAATCACTGTACACATAAATGTTATCCTTTTTGGCATTTACCTTTTATCGCATGTTGACAATTATTCGTTACATCGAGATATATTTTATGATTGCGCTTCTGGATTGTGTTGGTAAAAGGATTTCGTAAAATGGAGGTTCTATTCCATAGATTTTACCGTAATTTTGGCCAGGCTGAGGAAAATCGTTCGTTATACCGAAGACTTCGTTATATAGAGGTTCGTTAAATCGAGGTTCCACTGTAGTCGAAATTTAATCTGATAACCCAGCAAACCGAATAGGCTCTCAGTGACTAAACCATCCAAGGATTAATTTAAAAGCTTTATGTCGTGAACTTTCAACAAAAATTACCTGATAAGTGAATTAAAATTAAGTTCATAGACGCCAAATCGGTTATTGCTACTGAAATTATGACGAACGCTTTTAAAAATAATTATTAGGACCGTTCGAAGAGATCTTTCTCTTTTTCTAGAAACTTAACAGAAATCAAGCAATATAGACACAATTTAAAACAATAAATAATCTAAAAACTGTTTTAACACCTACCTTTCCTTTCGCAGTCCTGAGTATAATGAGTTATTTTAACAAAAACCAATTAAAGATCATTTGTTAAAAGTTCACGATCACTTTGACGTCACGTGAAAGTAACACCCACTACTGAAGTTAAACGTAGTAAGGCCGCGGGGGACACCTATCTATGAGTAAATTCATGAGGCAAAGTTTTGGTAGTACTACATCTTTTAAAACGCTTATTTTTATATCTCGGCTGTTTTACAGCCGATTTCAATAAAATTTTGCGGAGACATTGTGAAATGATGGAAATTTAGAAGGCTTGTTGAAGGCAAGTTGGGAAATTGTGAGTGTCCAAGTTTACGAAAAAAAAAAGCATTTTATTTGAGTGTCAATTTATTTGGCACGAAAGTACTATTTGGGGACACTTTTTTCTCTAGAATCGCTCTAAAACAAAACGCCACTGAAACACAAATAATATCATTCTAGCATAGCATAATGTGAACAATCCTGAGTGTTCTCGATGCAAACGACCGTTGCTAAGAAGACTATTCGGATCCCTGACTTACGACTACCCCGTTATTACAACCTCCAAAAGGAGTTGCGACTCAGCTTACTGGCGAAAAGGATGTTAATTGAAACAGAAGTTAATATTACTAATATACTCTTGGACTAAATTTCCACAATTAACCATCAGCCGTTAAACCTCTAAAATTTAACCGTCAACCGTCAAAATTGGTCAAATATTTACCCTCAACCGTCAAAGCTACCAAAGCTAACCGTCAATTGTCAAAATGGGTAATTTTTACCGTCAACCGTGAAAAATGCGGAATAGTTAACCGTCAGAAAAATTCAAGGTATTTAAAATCTCGCTATTTCAGCTGATCTTCACGGACCTCTTGCTCCTAAAAAATCTGTAAACTAAAAAACCAGTTCCTACGTATGTTCTCAAAAATACTCTCCCTTGGGGCATTACAAGATTTTACAAATTGAAAAAATTTTACATATTGAAAAAATTTTGAAATTTAAAAAGTGAAAGGCCAAGAAAACCTCCATAACACATCATTTACTATTATCGTGAAGTTTATATTTAATTACTTAAACTCTTGGACTAAGAAATTTCCACTTAATTAATAACTGTCCCCGTCAAAAGCACTAATTAAAAATTTAACCGTCAACATCAAAATTGGAAAAAACTAACCATCAGCAGTCAAAGCTACCACCCAATTAAGACCATCTTATAAGGCTCTAGATTATTGAACTGAATATTACTGAATTTTCTGAATTTATATGATGTTTACACCGTGTTGATTAACACGACCGAAAAGTTTATTTATACCTTATTATAGGAAATTAACGCTCCATGAAATTAAGGTATTGGAAATTAACGCGACTTAAATTAACGCGAATTTAATGGAAAACGACTTTCGAATAAAGAAAATTAATACGAAAGAGGAGGTAGAATTTCATAATAAAGGAAATTAACGCGATTAAGACACAGTTGGTGGCCGAAATCAAAGGAGAAGATATTGACATCACTTCTGACAGCGACAACGATGAAGATGAACTCGAAATTTTGTAAACCTTCGCCCTAACTTTTGTGAAAGATGAAAAATAAAGGGTAAGGGACTGGTCAAAAAGTAAAGAGGGGGGTGGGCCGGAGCGGAGAGGGGGTGGGTCATGAGGTTTTGAGCCTTGTGCAAGGGGTGGGTCGTGCAATTTTCAGCTACCCTTAGGGGGTGGGTCACCCTATTTTATTACATAGATAGGCACTAACTACTAACGAGACAGTTGACTACACTTGTTATATAAAACACAGCCAGCTGGAATTATTGCTAAAATACTCACAAACCTGTTGTGCGAGAAAGTACAAAAGGGTGACAGGCCGTACATCTATACGGGCGTGGAACCCTTAACCTTTTTTTTTTTGGCTCTTAC